AGCTAGCACTGAAGACAACTGCATAGCAAAATAAATCCCAAAATACATCAACAAAGTCTTCAATAACCACAGGACTATGTAGCACTTTAAAGACTAACAAGATGGTTTATTAGATGATAAGCTTTCGTGGGCCAGACCCACTTCCTCAGATCAAATAGTGGAAGAAAATAGTCACAACTATATATACCAAAGGATACCATTTGCTGCCTTCAAACACCAAGTTCTTCTAACTTTGAAGACACCCCTTCTGCAAAATAGCATTAAAATATCTGAATTATTCTCATGTACCATTTAACATATGCAATTTTATTTCTACACTATTGTCACAATAGGAAAGCTATAAATTGCAGCATGGGAGGCTGAATATTAAGAAAAACTTCCTGTCAGGATGGTTGAGCCCTGGAATAAATTGCCTAGAGAGGTTGTGGAATCTCCATCACTGGAAATATTTAAGAGCAGGTTAGATAAACATCTGTCAGGGAAGGTTTAGATGATGCTTGGTATTGCTATGAATGTCAGGGACTGGACTTGATGAGCTCTCAAGGTCCCTTCCAGTTCTAATATTCAGATTCTATATTTTAATGTTCAATTTGTTGGGAAAACAGTTTAATGGTTTTGAGGGGCACAAAAGAAATGATACTTAGAAATATTCAGTAATAGACTGCCTTTTAGTATTGTTAATTTCAATAGAAGGAAAGCCATTATTGTTGCAATAGCGTACTTTTAGAGAGACAAGGGATTAAAGCAGAAGTAAAATGCCTGGTGCATGCGGGTTGAGAACCCCATGCTGTTCTCTATTTCCCATGTATTCTTTCTGCAGTTTAATAATAGCTGGTTTATTGAAGACACAACATCAACATTATGAATCAAGGAAAGAAACCCCCCAAAATTGTCACAAAAGATAGGTTTGTAATATTTTTCTGATCGAACTGGATAAGAAGAGAACAATATTGTAGGATAGGAATAGGTAATCTCTCTCAATCCTGTATTTATTAGTAGTGTATAACCAAAGTACCCAGAGTGCTCTTCATTTAGCAATTTATAAATATTAATAAATCCTCACCAGGCCTTTCAAGCTTGAAGGTATTAACACCATTTTACAGATAGGAACACTAAAGCAGAGAAATGAATGGCCTGATTTTCAGAAAGATGGATGCTCAGTACCTCTGAAAATCAGTTTGTGTGTGTCTTGTTGAAGGCCACAATGGCAGTCCATTTTAGAGCCAGGAATAGACTCATAAGCTCTTGGCTCTCAGTCCTTGGACAACTAGACTTTTCCTTATACAAACCAGCAACATTAAGAATTGCTAGCAGAGAGGTCACAAAGTAATTTTTTTCTCCTCTTTAACACTGCTCAGAGCACAACTATGCTAAGTTACTGAGTGAGACTTAACTATTGTTCAAGTCAAATTCTGTAAATAAAACCTATTATTTGGACAGCACTGAGTTCCTTAAGCAGCCAGTTTTACAGTTAAGTTAGCTAGACTCCTCAGTTTATAAATAATTGTTTAGAAGCATATAAACAGCCAACAAGTTTATTAATTAACCATACAATTTAGTTGGACAAAACAAAAAAAATGCACATCTCTGTAACCTTATAAAGAAATTGGAACATTTGAAATATATTAGTTTTTCTAATGGTTTTAACTTCAGTCTTGGGCAAGGCATTTTCCTTCTTGTTTTAGGATTCACGTTTCAGTAATACATATGCTCCCATTACTGCCAAAAGAGCATACTGTAGAGAAAACACACAAAGAATTATTACAGTTCTGCGTTCTAAAAAGATTCAAAACAGATGAACAGATGCTGTTTCAGAGTAAGTCTCTGTTAACTTTTAGACTTGCTAACAACTGTAAGAATTAGAATTGAATATATTTGAGATGCTATTGGCTCATAAAAGAGTTTCAGTTAATAAAGTTTACTCATTTTTATTTCTAAAATGATCAAAAATATAGATTCAAATCTTATCATAATACAAAATATGCATTGTAATTGCACGCTTTATAGACATAAAAGTGAGTCTGTAGGCTAATTGATAAAATGCTATTTAATTGACTGAAAATAAAAAGCCTGCACAAAAACATTCCATAGGGCTATTTTCCCTTCTGGTAACCAAATCCATATACAGTACACAAATATATTATCAATTAACTAGGCATTTTACTTAGGCATAGAAATTGCTCCTTTATCATTTAAAAACAAAATTACAAGCCCTAACAAGTTAATGTTCAAAATAATGTTGACTCACCTTAAATTTTGGATAGTCATTCATTATTATGGTAACCATCCCAACATAAGGCAAAAAGCTAATTGACAAAAGATAAAACAGACAAATGTGAAAATTTCAGAGTTAGACAGATACCTAAATATTGTCCAAAATATACATTAGAGTTAGACATTTAATTTAAAATGTCTGTTTCATACAGTAAGAGCTTTACATTAGGATCACTTCAAAAGGCATGTATTTTAAATAAAACCTAGGAAAGTAACAACCAATAGTCTGGTAGCACTCTATAGACTAACAAAACATGTAGATGGTATCATGAGCTTTTGTGGGAACAGCCCACTTCTTCAGATGACCGGTCATCTGAAGAAGTGGGCTGTTCCCACAAAAGCTCATGATACCATCTACATGTTTTGTTAGTCTAGAGTGCTACCAGACCATTTGTTGTTTTTTTCTGTACAGACTAACTCAGCTACCCCCTGAAGCTTCTAAACCTAGGAAAGAGTAATTTGAACATCCCTCAAGTCATCAAACAAAGGCTTCATCCTCCTGCACATTACTCAAAATTTGGTAAGATAATAAAAAAGAAAAGAAAATACAATTGACAAGATATACATGCCCACTTTCTTATACGGTTGCAAAAGCAACATACCATTGTGAGTAATGTAACAAGTTCTAATAGTTCACTTTTTATATTAGGACATTAAAACAAGTGATTTTGAATGCTGAGGAGATGATTGAAAATTTATGCCAATAGCAAAGCCAGTTTCTGGCTATTCTGAATAAGACAAGGCAAACCAATTCAGGAGGATGGGTGACACTTGACATGAGAACTCTACTTTCATCAACAAGTTGCCCTGATGGCCCAAAACAGCCAGAACTCTTGGGCTGGCAGATGCTTAGGAACTGATCAAAAGTTCATAGGAGATCTCCCATTAACATCAGAGAACTTCAGGTCAGGTTCTTAGTAGCTCTAAGCAGGGTTCCAAATAAAAATTGTGAAATGACCAAAAACCTTTATACTCCCCACCACTACAAATTTGTGATTGAATATTAACGGGAAGGAGAATTTTTAAGAGAAGTTTCTTCCACATTTATTATTCTGTCAAGGAGTTAATATGAAACTAATTGAAAGATAACTATTTCTCAAGGTAGGTTTGTGTCTTTATGATCAGAGGATCTGATACACTATTAAAACTGTGCTTCTACCAACAATGATCCTAACTTAGAATTCAAAGTAACTTAGAACATAAGGCTATAAGAATGGACATGAGTCAGACCAAAGGTCCATCTATCCCAGTACGCATTCTGACAGCGGCCAATGCTAGGTGCCCTGAGAGGGAATGAACAGAACATAATCATCAAGCGATACCATCCCTGTCACCCATTCCCACCCTCTGGCAAACAGAGGTTAGGGACACCATTCCATTGATGGACCTGTCCTCCATGAATCTGTCTAGCTGTTTCTTGAATCCTGTTAAAGTCCTAGCCTTCACAACATCCTCCGGTAAGGAGTTCCACAGACTGACTGTGTGTTGCATGAAGTAGTACTTCCTTCTAGCATGTACTTCCTATATTACTGAGGCAGGAAAAACAGAAGAGTACTGCTTACCCTCTCGCTCTTCCAACAACATCTTTCTTTTCAAGCCAGTTCTGACCTTCTTTGTACAAGCCTCTGTCATCAACTTCATTATTATCACCCTTAGTCAGAAATTTGATGTTTCCATTTTCTCTGCAAGGCAACAGTGACAAATTTATTTCTACTTCATTTACAACCTAATTAATTAATATTTGCAATTCTCATTGAAGATGAAAAGTAAAATGCTATAAGATTAGATACCAATCTGTACACCCAGTCCTGCTTGTCCAACCTGTTTAATAAATATAATCAAGGCATTTATGGCTTTCAGTGACAGATTTAGTGGATGTAACAAAGTTTTTACATCAACCATTCAACATTATAGTTGCTTTCCATCAGATACAAAATGTAACTTCTATTATACATATAACTGCTGTTGACACTGTTGGTTTGAAGAACAGAGCCCTACATATTTACAGTAAAGTATACGGTTCTATAATAGTGAAAGTGGCCTTAACAAGAAAGGTCAGAGGTGGAGAGTATGAGAGAGAGAGAAGGATAGAGAATGGAACAACGGCCAGTGAAATATCAGATACACTATTAGGGGATTAATGGATTGTTCTCACTCCAATTAAGTTAACTGAAGTTTAATCATGTGTTCCATTGAAGGCGGGTTGTCACACCCTGTTATCCTGCCTCGATTGCAGAATTGGCTTAACAGTCTAATGCATTTTAACATCCATGCTTTTGTTTAACTCACAACCATGATTAACACAGATGTTATATGCTATTTCAAAGATACAAATATGATAAAATGGCTCTTTTTGATTAAAAGAAATATTGATGAGCTTTTAAACCCAGGGAAAGGATAACAGATACATAAAAATCAGAACAGTGTTAATAAAATAACAAGACTGCATTGGAAAGAGCCACATAAATGTTTGCTAAGTATTACAATTTTTTCCATCCAGGCTAACAGCTATATAAGATCTGTATAATTTTTTAAATGGTAGGCTAGTATATTGCAATTTTGTTTTGTTTAAAAAAAATAAGCTTATGAAGCACTACCGTGCTATAAGGGGCTTTCACTGTGTTTCATGGAGATAGTGTTCAGATATGCTAGAGACCTTTATGGAACACCCAGGTGCTACAGAAGTTATATTAGCGATTCAGTAGGTGGCACTCTTCCCTCCCAGATAGCACTGAATCAGTGCCAAGCATAATATTACAAAGGACCATAGTGCTACTGATGCCAATTTTCAGACAAGACACAACACCGATGTCCCAATAATCTGTGAGCATCAAAAATCCCTTGATTCTTTTTTGTAAGTGCAGGAGTCTTAAGCACTGTGACGTGGCTAAATTCTATTGTGGTTGATTATACACCTATCTAAATGTTGCCTGTAGTTTCAAATAGAAAAGATATTTTTCATTTTATCCTGCATGTTGCATACTTGCTGTATCCTGTTAAACAGTTGCCATGTTTCACCCTAGAGATGGCTTCATTTCAGCAGTGGGTAAAATGATACCGCATATAGTTGAAGTGTATAAAAGCACTTTGGACCAGGATAAAAACAAATGTAAATGATTACCCTTACAACATTCAATCTTCTTCTATATGGGATTTATAGAGATATTAAGACTGAAAATAAAAGAAAATGTACTACTTTGGGGAATTCTGCGGTCTTCCAGAAAATGGTCTATCATAGAAATGTAGGAATGGAATGGATCATAAAAGGCGATCTAAACCAGGAGTCCTCAATTTTTTTCTTCCTGAGGCCCTCCAACATGCTATAAAAATTCCACACCCCAGCTGTGCCACAAATAGTTTTATGCATACAAAATCCAGGACCAGCATTAGCAAGCAGAGCAATTGCATGTGTCCCCATGAAGCTAAGTTGCTTAGGCTTTGGCTTCAGCTTTGGATGACAGAAGCCTTGCTGTCTTAGGTTATGTCTACACTAGCACTTTTGTTGGTAACACTTGTCAGAAGCATGGAAAAGCCCACACCCCTGACAGACAAAAGTTTCACTGATGAAAGTGCAGTGTGGACAGTGCTAAGTTGGTGGGAGACGCTCACCTGCCAGCATAGAGTGGCTACACAGGAGATCCTAAAGTGGTACCAGTGTGCTGCTCTAAAGTCCATAACAGACATGACCTAAGTGTGTTTAGGGAATAAGGATGTTAAGTATCATGTAACTGACTAATCGAATAGTAGATGCATTTTTGCATCAAATATTCAATTAGTTGATAGGGCAGCGCCGCCCCTTTGAAATGCTGCTGCACCGTTTCAAAGCAGCAGCACTACACGGAGCCCGGGGTCCCCAGCTGACCCCGGGCTCCAAGCAGTGCTGATCCTTTGAAATGCTGCGAGGAGCCAGATGCTGGGTTCCCCACGGCATTCAAAGTGGCAGCACCCCATGGAGCAGCTGACCCTGAGCTTCTTGCCGCACTGCTGCTTTGAAGTACCCTGCTCTTCTCCCCCCGCTTTGTTGCCTCTGATAAAGGCAGCGGGGGATGGGGGGTAGGGAGGAGGGGAGAGGGGAGAGGAATTGACTAGTCAACTATCCTGTACGCATTTGCTTATTGGATAGTCTAGTCTTTAACATCCCTATTAGAGATGTGTGGAATCATCACTTCCATTACCCCATCTCCTTTCCAGCTGGCATCACCCACACTGGTGCTGTGGTTTCTTTTGCCTTCAGAAAACCTCTTATTCTTGCCACTACCAGGATGCCCTCTAAAAGGTAATCCTGAATTTTAGTCAGTTACTCAAAAAGAAGGTGGTTAGATATATGATTATGCATTTAAAAAGGCTAAAGAATAGACCTTTCAACTAGAATCATAAGTTAAATAGATATGACTTGTGTGAAGAACCACCACCATCTCTAGTTCATCTTGTATCAACTAACAGATGGACAACTAGCTCAACACCCGCAGCATCAGTGGAAAATTTCTGCTTTTATGGAGTAATAATATAAACCATGTTCGTTCTTTTAGAAGTAGTTGTCCATCATATACAAGGATATGGGTGTCTGCTTTTTACACATCATTCTTCAGCTATTCCAATAAAATGTGTGAGATAACATTTAAAGGTAAAACACATCCATCTGTCAGTAGTTCAGTTATTGTTTTTAATAATGAATCATCTTTGGGACTGTTTAGTATTGCACAATAGGAAGAATGACAAAAACTTTCTTCATTCACTTTGGGTCAAATTTGTATTCTGACAATCTCCATTTATTGATGGCGATGGATTTGACAGAATTATAAATGGAATTCTTTATATTGCTGCTTTGTACTCTACCATTTTTCAATATTAAAACTTCTGAAAGCTCATGCTGTAAAACTAATTTTTCTGGTAACAAAAGCTCCAGTTCTGCAACAAATACACGTTGAACTTCTCTAGTCCAGCACCCTTGGCTCCTTACCAGTGCTGAACCAGAGAATTTGCGAGACCACTAGAAGTCAATATTGTCTAGCATCATTACCAACGCTTCCACTGCTTACTGGGCTCTTCGAAGACATTAAGGGGTAAATTAGAGCTAAATAACAGCACAGAACACTGTGCACCGAGACTGTTGGGCTGTAACAAACTTTATGGGACTGTGGGAAACTTGGCCACACCCAGGATAAGTGGACATCCAGCTAGCAAAAACCATGCTGGACCACAGATATTGCCGGACTACAGAGTGCCAGATTAGAGAGGTTCAACCAGTACTATGAGGTTGAACTCCTAGTCCCTCACAGAGACCACTGACTTCAAGGATTAGAGCCTCTTATGAGAGTTGTCCTTGGGTATATATGTGTATGTACACTTAATGCAGTGGGAGCTTCACTCAGGTAAAACAGTATGCCTGCAAAGACCTCTTGCAGGATTAGAGCAAAAAGATGTTTCTTTAAATATGAAAAGAAGGTTTCTCTAACAACATACCATATTTGACTTTTTCAGGAGCCAGTATAAAGTTAGAACATAGCTGAAAATACAGCAAAGCAAGAGCATACTTAGAAATAATAAAAACTAAGTTTAATTACTTTTCATGGATTTTGAGTACTCTGTGGACTATAGGAATATCTCTGCCTTCAACTTTAAAAACAACTATTTCACCCGCTCTGATAGGGTCTTCCTGGAAATTTGTTAAGAACAACAGGTCTCCTCTATGAAATGCTGGTTCCATACTGCCACTACAAACAAACAAACAAACAAACAAACAAACAAACAAACAGAGAAAGATTACACTGCAAGTATAATGATGTATGCAAGACAAACTAAAAAGTAAAAATAGTATTTGATACCTATCCAGAAATCTGTAATTTTAATTGATGCCTGAGTTTTACCTTTTCATTAATACTACATTTAAAAACCATAAATGTTACTAGCATCTGATTCAAGTGATGGATCCTGTGAAAAATGAATCCCCAGTCTCAAAGAACAAGCTAACGGACTGTTTTGATTTGATTAAACAGGTTGTATGGAAAAATATTTAGTATAGGCAGTCCCCGGGTTACGTACAAGATAGGGACTGTAGGTTTGTTCTTAAGTTGAATTTGTATGCAAGTCGGAACTGGTACATATTGTAGGGGAAACTCTAGCCAAACATTTCTCCAGAGCTCAGTTTTATTCTCCCACACCTCACTTCCCTCAGTCCTTTATTCTCAAGCTGAGGTGTCTGCTGAGAAAAGCCGCTCCGCGTCTCCCTGGTCTGCTGGGGGGAAGCAGCTAGTGTGGGGTTGCCTCACCCTGTTTGTAAGTAGGGATCCGATGTAAGTCACATCCATGTAACCCAGGGACTGCCTGTACTGTCTGCTATAATGAAGGTCATAGGTTTCACTGTAGTGAATCAAACTTTTGGTCCATCAAATCTGGTTAGTCTGCCACTAGCAAAGCAGTGGCCAATACCTTTTGTGTCAATGACAAGCCAAAAAAATAATAAAAATAAACATAAAAACAACCTTAATAGATTACAAAGCAAAGCTAAACATAGGAACGGATAATTCCTACCAGAAAGTCCCATGGTTATAGGAGCAGGATATCTGATTAAACTTAAATCCTATAATTACACTTTCATAGAATCATAGAATAATAGGACTGGAAGGGACCTCGAGAGGTCATCGAGTCCAGCCCTCCGCCCTCAAGGAAAAGAAAACTTTGGAAAAGTTTGTAGCCATTTTTCAAAGCCAGGCAGTTTCTGACTCCAAGGCAGCAACCTATAGGAGATAAATGTTCCAGATCCCCTTACAAATCTCTTGAACAATGTAGAAACATACATTTTCCAGAATAACTCTAAAATTTACTACAAAAACATGAAGCTCACTGGCTCTGATATGAAAACATTTTGTTTTAAAATATGAGAACAGTTTGTTTTAACTGAAATGCTCCAAAAGCAGGGTCACCTCTTGAATGTTTTGGCTGGGCACTCCAGAAGAAATAAAGGATTCCAACACAAATTTACACAGTTCATAAATTAATATGCTGTTTTACAGTTATATTGCTCCATTAGTCAGGGAAACAGGATCAAAAGCTAAGATGATATGTATGTATAATAAAACTGTACAGGAGAAAACATTTCTCCAGTAAACAAAGAGTCTTTTGAAATATAGCTTAACCTAAAATGGATCTTAAAACATATATAAAACAAATGTTATTTAAGGCTTGTTAAAAGCAAACACAGACATCTGGCTGTACCTAAAGCCTAAAACATTCTCTAATACAAATTTTATTATTGTAAGTTGTCCTTCTTGATGAAATTTTGTAGCACTCAATCTTTGTGTGCTTAACTTTACACATTTGACCAACCCTACTAGGTTTGTAGGATGGGATCCTTATACCATAAAATATTACATTAAATATATGTAGTCCTCCTGAGAGTGGTGGAAGCAGTGCAAACATTTATAAATATGTTGTTCAGAAAAGAAGTTTTTGCCACAATTACTGCCAATCTCATGTAAGAGAGAAAGATGTCATTTTGATGAAAAAAAAGAGAGAGAGTCAATTGACAACTCTGAATATTCACAGCTAATATATACCACCTTTACATATCTTTTCAGCAGGCAAAATATAGCATAATTTAATTAGCTACATAAAAAGGGACGTGAATGTTTACCCAGTAAGTCTCACCGTGAACAGCCAGATTGGAACTCCGCACCCCCGCCGCCTGAAGCTCCTTTAATTGGTTAAACAATATGTTTAACTGGTTAACCAATTAAATAGTATTTTACACATCCCTACTTCATAAGGCATTTTACTACTGAAACAACATTTTCACACCTCATCCCCACAATGCAGTTTGTCCCATCACTAGGGTTCCTAGGCACTATGGAAGTACATAGAAAAGTCAGGCACCTTTTTCCATATTCAGGCATATAAAAACATCTGAACTTTCAAATGTGCTGGGCACCCAGAGCCATTACAAGCATCTGGAAACTCTAAAAATAAGGCCATATTTTATTTACATACACAAATATGGAATGAGAAACCTAACTTTAGGCACCCTAGTTTGAAAATATTGGTCAGGGAGGGTGCTCATTTATCAAGGTGATAGTATTTTATTACTGGATATCAAATAATATGAGATATATTTGTACCACACAAAGATACGGTGTATTGTTATAACAAAACAAGTAGTGATTGAAGTAGACATACCTGAGTACCACAACAATAGGGCTTTCACTTCCAGTGATGACAATCAGACCTTTCCATATCATAAGTGCAGAAGACACAATCATGGCAAAATTTAATACTTGGTAATATAGCTGCAAAAACAAAGATCCCCCCAAAAAATAAAATTGTCCAGTTAACACATTAGATACACAACAGCAGAAATACTTGTAACAAACAGGTTTTCATTAATATTACTGTTTTAATGTAGATTTCTTTCACCAAGGTCATACCTGGACACCGGACACATTTAATCAACTCTTAAACTACTTGATTTTGCAAAACTAAAAGTATGTGATGTATGAAACATGAATATTTAAGGTACACAATAGGGATATAAGCGGCTAGTCGAGTATTCGACTGAGTAACTACTCAACTAATCACTTCCCCTCCCCCTCTTTGCTGCTTCTATCCGGGCAGGAGCCGGTGCTGCGGGAGTTGGCTTAAAAAGCTGGTTCCCCCCAGCACCGTCTCCAGGGGGGAGGAGCGGACAGAGGAGACATAGGGAGAGGCATAGCAGGGGACTGGACATGAGCCAGGAATCAGCTGACCCGGCTTGCGCCCAGTCCCAGACACTGTGCCTCTGCTTTTAAATGCTTTTAAAGCAGTGGCACAGCATCTGGGACAGCTGATTCCCAGCTCACGTCTGATGCCCCACTGCACTTCTGCCTTTTAAATTTAGTAAGAGCCAGGCAGCTGTTACATTTAAAAGGCAGAGCCATAGCAGGGGACTAGCAGGGGGCCAGGAGCTAATCCAGCTGTGGTTCTGCAGTTTCCCCCCTTATCCACTAATCAAGCAGTTGATGGAAATTCCATCAACCATTCGATTAGCTGATTAAACGAAATTTAACACCCCTAATACACAAATACATATGGTAATTTCCAGTATTTGAAGCACCTATAAAACCAGAAAACAAAATTGTTATGCTATATTTTTTAAACAGGCATACAAGAGAGACTAGGGTGAAATCTTGGCCTCACTGAAGTCAAGGTAGAAGACAGCTGCACCGTAGCTTCCTGAGGACCCCCTGCAAACTTTGGAGTAGGGGGCATGTAATGGGCAGGGATAAGAGCTTATCAAAGAAGAGCCTGCAGCACAATGGAAATTCAAGCAGCAAAGTGTTCCACAGAGCAGCCTGGGAAGGCTCCTGGCACTCAGACAAGCCACAGGAACAACAGGAGGGCACGACAGGGTTTAAAACCATTTTAAATACTACCTTGCCCTTGGCTGCAAATTCTGTGCCACACTGTAAAGGAGGAGCACATTCTCGGACCTTCCAATTAAAGCTTGTTTTGCACCTGACAGGTGGACTTCTGAAGCCACACAGAGCCCCAGTGAAGTTAAAGAGGCTCCAAGCAAGTCCTACTCCTGAGGGAACTCTTCGTTAAAATGCACAATATTTTGAATTTCAGCATATTTTGTCAAAATAATACAATATAAACTAGGCCAGTTTTAATTATTTTGGTAAGTTATTTCAAAATATCTGTTAAGTATGTCTTTAACAATACAGACAATACAAAAGATTCAAGAAATATTTGTTGACAATAGATACTTTGCCAGGAATATTAATACAGAATTGAGTAAGAATTAATGTAAACTACAATAAAAAATGTATTTCTTGCACTCCTTAGAAACGGTGCAAAGACTTGGAGTCACAGGTAATAGAGGAGCTGAAAGAAACAGTTAGGAAGAAGCCTGTGAGTGAACTTGGAGGACTGTTGGGTGTTGGTGGGAGACATATGGAATAGGCTCTTTTTTTTTGGTGAGGGGTTTGTTAAGGAGTTGGGGAGCCTGCCCCATGAAGACCTTCACTGATCCGTACTAAGGATGTTAAAATGTGTTTCTTAGATAACCATGCAACCGCTGAAAATTTAGCGGTTACACAGTTACATGTGGGGCAGCACTCAGCTCCACCTGTCCTCCCTCTCCCCCAACTGCTGCCTCTGATATAGAGGCAGAAGCATGGGACAGCGGGGCACTTCCCCAGGGGCTGGTGTGCACCAGCACATACCGGGAGCCTATGTATAACTGTGAAGGTTAGCCAATGAGCCCAGGCTCATTGGTTAATCAGGTACATGGTTACACTTTCACATCCCTAATACCTAGCTTCTCTAATTCAGTCATGCACAGTAGTCCCTGTCCCCATGTTTCTGCATCCTTCTATCTTCATGTGTCCCTGTACCATCACTCAGCCACCTACCCATCCCAATGTAGCCCTGCAGTCCCTTTTCGCCCCCACCCTAGTCTGTCCCTCCACTAGCTTTCTGAACCCCAGGGTCAGTCTGTGTCACCTATGAGCAGTCCCATGTGCCCTACACGGTCCACCCCCTTCATACCCTGTGCATCCTTCATCTTGCCACATGGGCAGGGCACCGTGTGGAATGCAACCTCCTCTCCTCCCTATCCTCTCTCTGCACCTCCCAAGCAGCTGCTCTCTGTTCTGGCATCATGGCAGCCCCTGGCAGGCAAAAGGCATAACTGCAGCACCTTTCCAATAGAGAAAAAAAAAATCTGCCAGGAACACATGAATCCTGTGTGTGCGTGGGGATGCAGTTCCCACAGTAGTAAAATACAGCTGCCCACCTATGCAGATCACAACGCAGGATCAGGCCTAAGTTTTTTCATATCTTTGCCAATGCACTTCAGTTGTAGCTTACAATACCTCAGTTTACTACTCCATTCCTGGAAATCTCTTGTCAACAATTCCACTGATAATCATGAGGTGCTTTTGTAATGTGTAGTAATGGGGGGGAAAAAATTCTGCTGTTTAAGAAAGTGTTACTGTTCCTGAGAGCTCCTTGCACACATACACAAGAAACTAGGCCCCTTATTTCGAACCATTGTAGTGGTACTTTCATTCTGCAAGAATACTGGAGAGTTGCGTTTATCATTCTCGTACTCATATGTGAAATCTGCATTTGTAAAATATTGAAAACTTTTTTTTTTTTTGTGCAAATATTAAACCTAAATATGGTTTGGTAGCCTTGGGGCAGAATACTTATTTGTGGGGGAGTGGAAGAGATTCCTCACAGAGTAATTTTACTTAGGGATTCTCTAACTAGAAAGCAGCAGTAACCAGGAGCACACCTCAATATCTACTAGCTTAGTACAAGATACTGATCAAAGGCTAGGCAGGACTCAGGGTTAAGAAGCCCAACATTTCTAATAGGCTCTAAAAAGAGAGCCTGAACTTTGAAATACATACTAGAGACAGCATTGATGTGCATGTGTATTAGCTGTCTCACCACAGTGAATACGTGCAGGGATCCTGTCTTTGTAGCAAGAACAGCAGCATGATGTATTTTCACAAAGTAGAACAAAAGATGGGGCACACTGCCAATCTACCACACAACAAGCACAAAGTAGACTGGCAGGCTGAGAAGTAGATCATCTAGTTATGCTACAAGATAACTATCTAAAAAAATCAAGGATGTCCTAATTTTTGGTTCTTGTTTGGATACCGTAGGCAGTTTTACAAGAAAACAGGGCTTTGGCCTGATTTTTGGAACCCTCCTCCACAGCTTCTCGATACCACTAATACTGCTATCACGTCGTTCATAGGCACATGACAGGAGCACTAGCCCATATTAATACCCAGACTGCCACATTTGCCACTTTACTTTCCACATTCATAAAGGCCTGAGACCTAACTTTTGTCTCACACTTGCTTATTCCGGGGTGGCAGGAAATGCGATACAGATAAGCAACTCTATCAATTTCCACCACCAGTTGCCAACAAATACACAACACTCGTTGTGGTGCGACCCTCCCTGTCCGCAATCAAGAGGGCAGATATTCCAGATGAAAAGTCTGAGAATCCTATACATGGAGGATTTTTGGACCCTCCTTGTTGGACTTCTCGTTGTCTATACTGTTACACGTCTCAGATACCCGGGAAACCCGTGGTTTGACCCTCAGCGGTACGCTGGCCACAGAACACAACAGCAAGCAACGAGCTGCACACTCGCAACACAGGAATGCAGCGCCACACGGGAGAGTGAGTCGCCCACCGACATGCAGCCATCGCTACAAGCAGCACATGCTCACCCGAGGCCGCAGCCGCAGCAGGGCAGGCACACGTCATGGCTAGTGAGGCGCGGGGCTCAACACATACGCTGGCGTGCAACGCGGCGCCAGCAGCTCACTGCGCGCACCCCCTTTACCTGGCGCTTGTTCATTCGCCGCAGGTCTCCGAATATGTCCATCGCCAGCTCCTTCCGCCGTACGGGAACGAGGCACTGGGGAGCGAGGGGCACTGACCCCCACCAGCCGGCGCTACCTAGCAGCTGCGAGGCTGGGGCAGGGTTGAACCCGTCGGGCTGCACCCCAAGAAACAGTGGGGCAAGGCTAAGTCACTCAAGACCCCGCCCCCCCGGAGCAGCGTGAGTGGGGCAAGGCAATGCCCTCCAGGGGCAGCGTGAGCGGGGCAGGGCTATGCCCCCCAAGGTGTCCCTAGCAGCCGAGACAAGGCGGCTGCGGCACCCCCCCAGGCTCAGCTCGGGGTGGCCAGGAGACCCGCCCCCCAAAAAAAGCCTGATTGGTCCGAAAAACCGCCAACACCGCCCCCCAAAACGGGGGAGGATGAATTTTGGGGCGCTGTCGTCATGGCGCCGGGCGGGGTTTGCGTCCAACGTCATGACGCTGGGCAGGGTTTGGGATGGGGAAGCCTGCGTGAGACATTAAAAAAATAAGTGGTCCGAAGAAATAGTGGCAAAAGTCTCGGGCCACGACGGCTCTAGGCAGCCCCCCCCCCCGGATACGCCGGGTGTGCCCGTGGGGGCGCGCGCCTGTCCTGGGAGTTGTAGTCTAGCTCGTGATCTTCTCTTAGTGCCGCGGAGGGAGCAGCAACTAGCGGGACTACAACTCCCAGAATGCCACCGCGGCAAGCTCCCCGCGGAGCGAGGCCCTCTCTGAGGGGGGCGGGATCTCTCAAACTGCTTAACGGTTGCTTGTGAGACGCGCGCAAAACGGGAACTGGAACCCGACGCGCAACACGCAGCAGCGGCCGCGTGATTTCCGCCCCCGTCTCGCCGCGGAGGGAGCAGCAACTAGCGGGACTACAACTCCCAGAATGCCACCGCGGCAAGCTCCCCGCGGAGCGAGGCCCTCTCTGAGGGGGGCGGGATCTCTCAAACTGCTTAACGGTTGCTTGTGAGACGCGCGCAAAACGGGAACTGGAACCCGACGCGCAACACGCAGCAGCGGCCGCGTGATTTCCGCCCCCGTCTCTGAGAGCAGCTCCGTGTTTGAGCGGCTGCCTCGTGGAGGTTGCTCATTGGCGGGGCTGTGGCGGGAAGCGACGGAGGCTGGAGCGGGGGGGGGCAGGGCTGAGTGTCGAAGCGGAGGGCAGTGGAGTTGCGGGTCAGTGAGACCCGGCTGGAACTGTGGGGCCAGCGCCGGGGGCTCTGGGCTTGGGAGCTCGGCCCAGCAGCCACACACGTACTGCCGGTGGGGGTCCCCGGCCGCAGGGATAGGGTGCAGCCGCCAGGCGCGGTCTCCTGCTTGGTGAGGGAACGTGGGGTCTGGCTCCATCCTGGGGGTGGGTCGGTGGGCGGGAGGAGTAGGGTGGATGGGCTGGGATGGGGAGGACTCTGGGTTGCCCCAGCATTTCATATCTCAGAAGGTGGAGTCCCTGCCTTGTAGCCCACTGTTGGCAGCCGTATCTAGGAATGCGGGGATGGGTGCAGGACTGTGGGCCATTTTTGCGGAAAACAAATCTCAGCTGTTTACACTGGCCCTTTTGCGCAAAAGTTTTTCGGAAAAAGACTTTTGCCTGTACGGGAGCAGCATAGTATTTCTGCAAAAGCACTGACAATCTTACATGAGATCGTCAGTGCTTTTGCAGAAATTCAAACTGCTTTTCCGGAAAAAGTGGCCAGTCTAGACACAGCCTGACTGTTCCTTTTCCCATAAAGTACTAAAACAGAAAAGTGGACCCCAATAAAAACATAATCTATGCCTATGTAATTTTGTTCCTAGGACTCACATTTCTGGGACAACAGAACAAACAATCCTTCACAAAATGTAAGAGTTTTCTATGCACATGATTCCTAGTTCAGGTGCTCTTGTGCATAAGATCAGATTCTTTTAACAGCAGTGTTCATTGGCCTGCACTTTCACCATGAATGACCTTCCACATCTCTTCTCCACTTTACCTCAATATGTAGCATATAACAAGAAGCAGGGTTAATGGCCCTTTTGCGCAAAAGGACTTTTGCCCGAACGGGAGCAGCATAGTATTTCCGCAAGAACACTGACAATCTTACATGAGATCGTCAGTGTTCTTGCGGAAATTCAAGTGGCCAGTGTAGACAGTTGGGCAGTTTTTCTGGAAAAGCGGCTGATTTTCCGGAAAAACTGGCCAGTCTAGACACAGTCCCCTAGTATATACAGTAGGCCAAAAGGCTGCTTTGAGAGCTATAACTATTGTCACCGGTATTGATCTGCAAAGGTGCATGGGAAAGCTGATCTGATACAGACAGTGTAGCATGATGGAGCTCCCTTTGTCTGCTGATTTGATACTATCTAGTGATTTCAAGGGCTACACAGGTGTCAAGGTGGAGATTGTTTTGGATGTGATATTTGTTAAGAATTTCAGTCAATTTTTCTTTCCTGCAGCAATCAGTTTAAATGATCCATGTAGTTTCATTCATTCTGTGGTGCCAAGTGATTATTTTTCCTTTGATTGTGGGCAGGGACATAGTAATTGGTAGCGGTGTCATCATTGCTGCTAAAGAGAATTCTTTCACAATACCACCACCATTCACATGAAAACCAGACAACAAAAATCATTGTCCTAATAAAGACCACAGATGGACACATTTACAATAGATGTACTATTAGTGTAGTAAATGAAACTCAGAGATTTTGCACTAGTATCTACTGTGTCTGCTTTTATAAAATAGAATTTTAGTACCTAAA